AGACAAAAAGGTGTAGATAATTACGTTATTATTGTTAGTAATTCTGTCTGAATCACCAACACATTGATTTAAACCACCAACAATCATATTGTTGATGATCATTCACTCCTCCTAGTCGTCGTCGAAAAGATCCTTAATGATTTTATCTAAGGCACTAAATTATTCCAGCTGCTTGCGTATTCATAACATAAATTCATTTCTAATGTTTGCTTATTTTCAAAATTACCTTAATAACTAATAACCCTATTTTGGGTAGAATATAATTTACTCTTCCAACAATAAATATTTTGGTATTTACAAATAAAATTTCTATATTAAAATCAAGAAGTCCGTAAAGTTTGCAAATATAGAAACATTTGAAAAATGGTCACAACCATTCATCTTCACCCATATTGGACAGGCATTATGGGAGTATATTCCTATGAATAATGCTACTTGCAATCGCTCACTACAACAGTCGTCCTATGTGGTATATACATGTCAAGTATGTATTTGATGCANAGACAAAAAGGTGTAGATAATTACGGTATTATTGTTTGTAATTCTGTCTGAATCACCAACACATATTGATTTAAACCACCAACAATCATATTGTTGATGATCATTCACTCCTCCTAGTCGTCGTCGAAAAGATCCTTAATGATTTTATCTAAGGCGCTAAATTATTCGAGCTGCTTGCGTATTCATAACATAAATTCATTTCTAACGTTTGCTAATTTTCAAAATTACCTTAATAACTAATAACACTATTTTGGGTAGAATATAATTTACTCTTCCAATAATAAATATTTTGATATTTACAAATAAAATTTCTATATTAATTTCAAGAAGTCCGTAAAGTTATATGCAAATATAGAAACATTAGAAAAATGGTCACAACCATTTATCTTCACCCATATTGGACGGGCATTACGGGAGTATATTCCTATACCCAAAACCAAAACTTCGTATTCACAATCTAAGTACGTAATCTTGAGTTTTGTCAGTGTATTTCCATTTTCCAAAACCAAACAAAAAAGAAGAACGTATTCCTTTTTGTCTTAACAATATGAATCATTTTTCACAAATTCATTAATAATTTATGGGTTTTAGTTGATGAAAAATAGTGCAAACATACAAAGAGTTCCTAAATTTAATTTTTCTTGTTCTTGTTCGTTTTCGACAGGCAAGGAGATTATACCCGAGTCCCAAATGGGGACAATTTGATTAGGACAAAAATAAGCACTAGCCAAACTTAAGCTGTATTGTAAATGACAAAATGATCATTGAACACCTATCCCTAAAACACAAAACCAAGTAGCAAGAATGACACCAATTTTTTGGCTTTTATATCAACTTTTAAAAGAGTGTGTGAGTTGGGAACTAAGCAATAGGGCATATGAGAATTGAACTATACCAGAAATTACAGATCAAGTGCATTGTCAAGCCAATGCTATTCTTTGTTATAATCAAGACATGTTGTCTTTTACAAGCTTCCAAAACAATGTAATACATTTAAAGCATAGGAATTAACCAGCTACAACTATTTAATTAGATTACTTACTACTACTTATTTGTCCAGTAAACTTGACCATTCAAGAATTGAATCCCTTTGGCCAGTGAATTTCAGGTACTTTTTTGGCTACAATTTCATATAAGTTTTGCATAGCATCAAGCAGAGTTCTAGCTGTTAAATTGGGAGTACTTTAGTGAATGTACAATTTGTAAATCTTCCAGCACATATGTACAGATTTACATTATATACATGTTTTAAATTTTAGAACACTAAAATGGGTAGCTGAAACACTTTACACAACTTCTGAACTTGAGAATTTACATGCATAATACTCACCCAAAACGTTTCTTCTTTTTTCTGGAAGTGCAAAAGTATGTCGATGAATGATCAGAAGGTGCTAATAGTCCAAGATGATTTCTGGAAAATTTGTACCGCTTCCATCAAACAAGTCCTTCGAGGTTCGTGGCTTCAGACTGGTGGCAAAATGAAGCTGCTTGTTATCGTTCAGGCGTTCAAGAATTCTACGGGATGTGGAGCACTGTGTATGCAAGTGCACGATCCCCGGGGGAAAGGATGCAGTTACTCTCAAATATTCTTCTCCTTGATTAGAATTATATATTTTTGAAATTTTACTCATGCGTTCTGTTTCCTTTACCGATCTAGCAATCATACAGTCAAAAGTGGCAAAAAATGATTCACGTAGCCCACCCTAAATTTATTAGGAACAAGGATTAGTTTTCTGTTGTGATTCTGTCCCCTTATCAGTTCTAGGTTTTATGCAGGTTGTGACAGCAAATTGCATTCAAATGCAACAACCAATAAGAAAAAAGAAGACGTAGAGGAAGAAATTCAAGAAAAGATGGCCGAATATTCAGAAGATGCAGCGATTTCAGAGATACTGAAGCTAGCTGAAATGCAACAGGTCATAGAGAACTTCCACAACGGTTTCTTGGCCGAATCTGAGAAAATGACAATTGCATTACATGATTTCTTGAATTAAATAACATTCGAACATGTTAAAAGCTCAACTTATGGAATATTAAAAGATGTTGATGAGTATTTCTGCTCAATATCAAGAGCCAAAATTTATAGATGATTTGATCAATTAAAAATTCAGATGGCGTACATAGAGATCTGCAGTGGAAAAGAAAGCACTTGATATACACTACAGTATCTCACCAAATGATGAAGTTTTACCATGTACTTGTAGGTTCAATTTGAAATAGCAGTGGAGGCGGGCAAGCTGAAAGAGGTTGCTGTAGAATATGCCAAGAGGTTTGAGGCAACACATGTGATCCTTCATAGGTACTTATAATTTGCATCTCTCTGACATGGTATTCTATAGCTACAAAAAATTTAGAATGCCAAAACGTTAAAGGTCCGTTTGATTGCAATGGTGGAAAATAGATAGAAAGAAAATGAATTCCAAGAAAAGTAATTGCTTGAAAAATGAATTCCAGGGAATTGTTAATTAAATGTGTTTGATTGGTATAATTTTTCACCCGAAAAATTTTTAAATTTTGTGTTCGATTGGATTTCGTTTACACCAAAATTGTCCATTAAAGTGAAAAAATTTTCCACGCTTGGTTATAAAATTTGTTTCCATTGCAAAAAAAAAAAAATACAGCAGCACATGGAATTCATCAAAATCTAGGAATTTAGGCGCGTGACTGCCTTGCCAAGAAAATGTTTGGCCTAGAAAATCTTGCCCATCAAACAAAACATTTTGTGGGAAAAGGAAAAGTTTTTCCAACTTCCAAGGAAAGTCAAGGCTATCAAACATAGCCTAAGAAGAAACTGCGATCCTTGAGCATGAATTACACTATCACGGATATATAATTACATCTTTGCATAAAATGATGAATATCAGCTAAGCATTGATTTCTTAACAGTGGCACACCTCAAACTCTCGATTAGGAAATGATATAGATGGCAAGGCCTCCTACATCGAGGAAATACAGAAATATCTAATTAGCTTTCGGGATTAATACTCATGGGATACTACTTATAATATCGTCTGATTACCGAGTACATTTAAAACAGAATCCTAAGACAAAAAGTACGTACAGGGTCTAAAGATCAAAGTGGCGCAGTACTTCGTGTCATGGACAGTTTTTTCATTCAAATGGTGTCCAACTTCGTTAATAAACTTGACCTCTTCATTCCACATCTTTTGGATAAACTAAAAAAATTAAAGCAATTTAAACAGAGTTTGCAGATAATATACATGGTGTTAGTGAAAACTGATTTATTGTACAATAGTACTTGTGTAATCCGTACGGAGAGTCCAAATGCCATAACATTCATAACGTATAATACCATTTTAGTTGCATATTCAAACTCAATTTATACTTACTGCATCACAATCTGATACTGCCAGGCAACTCAGAAAACATCAAAAATACTTCATGGACAACTTGAGTTGTGGCATTTTAAGAATGAAACATGATTACAGTATTGAGGCGATAAGAGAAGTCAAGGCAGATGAGCAGGGGAGCCTTCTCAATCGCGAAACATGTTAGTAACTAATTTCCATAAAGTTCCATTAGCAGCGTTTAATATCACTGATATACAGAAACTTTAACCTAATGCAAGTGCAGTTGAACAACGAGAAAATGCATTTGAAAATTACATCTGTACCTTGTGCAAGAATATAAGACCATGGATTGGACAAAAGGACCTAACTTATGCTGAGCTGCAACTTGCAACTAATGGGTTTGCCTCACAAAACTTGCTACCCGATCAAGGAAAGAAAACATATAGAGGTCAATTGAATGGCTGGCACAAAATTATGGTATGGGAGCACCCTTCGGAAACAATCAAAGAGAAGGAATTTAAGATGGAGAGTCACATTCTAGGGAAAGTCGGACATGAGAATGTGGCCATATTCTTAGGTTCATGTTCAGAAGGATCACACAGGCTGCTTGTCTATGAGTACGTTTGTAATGGTTCTCTGAACAAATATTTGTCAGGTAAATGCATGCGGCTTAGAAAATAAAATTTTCTTCTCTAGTATCACTATTTTTTCCCCAGTAACAGTGGATCAATTTGTTTCTGCAGAAAAAAGCAGAAAATTAACATGGGAAAGAAGAATAAATATTGCATATGGAGCGGCAAAAGGTTTAGAATATCTGCATAGAGAAAGGATTTATGGAAGCATGAGGCCAAACAACATACTCGTCACCCATGATTATCAGCCACTGGTAAGATTAATTTGTTGTCTGCTTTGAGTATATTTACATGGCTTGAAGACAAATACATCACTTGTGCCATTTACCATCTTTACCAGCTTTCATATTATGGTCTTGCTACAATTCAATATGAGGCCTTAGGTCAGTCCTCCAACACCATGGCGCTGAGGACATTAGAATACTTAGCACCAGAATATGCACAAAGTGGAATAGACATGAGCAAAGCAGATGTCTATTCCTTTGGGATTGTTCTTCTCGAGCTGATTACTGGCCGAAAGACTCTTGAAGATACAAAGGGGCAAAGCTTCTTGAGATGGGTAATAACTACAGCATTCTTATTTTGAAGACCATTAATCAAAAAGCTTTACTTTGGACAAAATCTATCCTCGAAAGTTTTTGGGCCTTAATAGATCTCAGTTTTTTTCCTCAGGCGAGACCAATTCTGAGAGAGAGAAAGTACATGGAACTGATAGATCCTGCAGTGCAAGATTCTGTTGACCTTTACCAGTTGTTTTGGATGGTTCATGTAGCAGACCAATGTCTCGAGTGGGATCCTAAGTTGAGAATGTCAATGCATGAGGTATATGTCTATTCCAAGTTCCACCATCTCTTCCATGCACTAGAGACAAGGCATTTTTCTCCATCAAGTGATATTAACATTTTACTATATTGAATGCTGCATGACATGGAGCATATGTTTTTCTCTAACTTGCAGTTTCAAACCATCCAAACACGCATACAAACAATAACAAACAAAGAGACAACAAAGTTTGCTTCCTTATTTTAGGAATGGTTTCTTCTCCAGCACCTTTTCAGACCAGACATTGAAACAATCCCTTCGAACTCAGGACTGTGCAGCAAAATAAATATCCTCTCAAGTCCTTTAGACTTTCAATGTCCCATATTACAAATCCAGAATCAAAAGTGCTGCTTCTATAGCGTTAAAGCCTTTTAGGCTCAAACCATAGTGAAAGATAATTCAGACTGGAAAATACACTAATGATAAAAAATGTTAACCACTTGTCAGAGCATCAATTGGTTTCTTATACACATATCACAAGCAACAGAAAGATGCCAGATTAACCTTCAATATGTACACTCCAAGAAGAAAATCTGTCAAGACACAGATTTTATACAACAAATTTTGCATACAGACAGACAAGTAAACACGATCTTATTTGATGATTCTTGTATGGCTTTACTACAGGTGCTGATGGCTATGACATGCAAAATTAATCGCTGAGGTAGTCAATACAAAGCCAGCAATAACCAAAGGCATTCAGGCACTTTAATTTGATTTATATGACATTTTTATTCGAAATTGTGGGTGCAATACATTAAGCATGTGACTTATTCTGTATGTATTGCTTAAGGCTTCAGAACTGGAGGGGAACCATGTCACCCTTTTAGAGATGCAGCATCAAAACTAATCCTTTATATTATGAGTTTTATTTTAGACAGACTTGAATAACATCGAAAAATGGAAGCATATCAGTGCCTCTAAATTCTCAGTTTGCATCCTATTTTGCTGACATTTGTTATCCAGTTCCAACGCCAAGCCATCAACTTTACTGACATTTGACCATGTATATAAGCTGAAACTATAAATTTAAACATCCCTAATGATAATTCAACAGAGCTAGAGTTGAAAATAGCTAGAAAATGCAAAAAATTAAAAAAATTAAAAGAGTTGACAATGCTGGCCAGGAATTATGCAGATATCTACCAAAGTAAGCTCAATAATGCTTAAGCCTGGACTCCAAATATCCACGAAAATTCATCATACATATAATTATGATATAAATTAGAACAAATTATCTTGGGACTAACATAAGCAAACTAGCCGGATTCATGAAGAGCCAGGAAAACCCCAAAT